TAGTCCATGAATTTTTTTATACATTTTTCCTGCACAATTCTCATTTGTCCGTAGTTTTGCTTTGGAAGCATTCCAATATAAAGTCAGTTAAACAGAAAAGGGGTTTAGGACCGTAGGTGGATAATTCACCTCCAGTATTCTTCAAACTTCATTTTTACCTTTTAACATCGAGGTCTTCGATAAACCAAAATGTTTAGCATACTGCAAAGCGTATGCATTTGGACCTTTCAGGCCTGGACACTGATCAATGAAATCCCTGCCCCTATGTTCAAATGTTCGTCACATTTTCACATACTCATTGTTCATGCACTTGTAAGGCGTCCCTCCGTACATCTCTGATCGTGACCTTAATGCGTTTTATATGTGTGGTCCATAACTAACACACTTGTATTCACGATAAAAAAGACGAGCTTTTGATAACACGCAACTAAACAATCCATTATGGACAAACATTGCTCAATTTCGGATAACAGTAGAACCAACCCCTCTCTTTCACAATCTTCTACCAAGTTCTTGAAATTTCGAGGTACACAAACCAATGCAACGAGCAGGTATTTGTATCAGATGCTCAGACTTTGGAGGATATAGTGTCAAAACATCGGGTTAGATGCTTATTGATAGTTGCATTAGTGACAAATAAAATCTGATCGACACACCAGGTGAAGCCAAACGACTGTTGTTTGGTCAGTGGAAATCAAAAACGGGACCAAGTGTAGCAACAGACGAGTAAACAGGCTTTTGGAACTGACAGACACTGAAATCCTTTTGTCTTCTCTGTGCACGGACGTTTGTTTTGAGGAGAGACCAAATCAGATATTAGTTTGTGTCACATTACTATTCGAACGAGATAAGTTGAAATTATTTGATTCAAGGAGTTCGCGTGGATAATCGCACAGTAATGGGTACATTAACTATTCTTTTCACTTTTGTCTCTCTTCAAACGAGAAATCTACGTTATTATCCCCGCATTTAGCTGACAACATTCGAACGAACTAAGGGTTACCTGTTCTTTGAAAAAGTTTGGTGACAATCGGTACCCCTTGTTCTTTCTGCAATAGATACTTTTCGTTTTCGAATAGTCTCTTCTTAAAAATCGGTTTGATTGTACAGAACAACGCCGGTATACGTCGCATCATGTTATAATTTGCATAATCGGGCAGGTCACCAATTAGTTTATGGTGTTGAAGGCATAAACGATTGAGGGTGAAACACTGGGGTTCATGGTATTCGCTATGGCGTGCAATGCTCTGCTCCCATTCCCTATTAGATCGGTTGATGAAACCATGTCACTGGGCTAACGATGAGCACAAACTCATTTGAGGACGTACAGTGGGTCTTGTAAAGGGTACAATATCTGGTATAGAATGGTGCACGCCGGGAAAATTCACTTTCTCATATATGGATTAGCAGCAGACGCGATTGAAATAGAGCAGCTTTGAGGTTTCGCCAAGGTGCGCCTACCAGAGACAGTTTGAGGCAAACTGGCTTTCATGGGTCTGTAAGTTCATACGTGCCTCTTTTCCCATTGCTCATAATTAAGTTCCTTGACAAGCTATATCATGCGACGAATTTTCATAGGGTATTTAGACCTACCATTGACAACTCTTCAGATAGGAACGGTTTCGGACGTAATATGCATTGCGATGGCCGCAACATTCTTATCTGTTTTAACCTTGCCTTCCTTCAGCTTACTGTGGCTAAATATGGATGCACTATAGTGGTTTTAAACATAATTTGTGAGCCAGTCTTACCCTTGGTTGCATCTTCTGGCCACACACAACATTGCACCTATGAATTTTCATATAACAGGGTTGCACTTTCACTCTTTGTTCTCCAGCAATATTCACTACCATGGATTGCGCGTCTGCAGGAATCAACACCAACTGTTAAAAAGTAATTACCAGGCAGTCACCTGACCGACGCCCAGGTTATATTTTAGCTAATAATCAATGTAGAATGTGGAAAGATTAGATAAATCGACTTCTCCTGGATACTAGGAGAATTAGTACCAGGTTGTTGTTCAAGTGATTGTTAATGTCTACCAAATGTACAGTATGCCACGATGTACAAACATATGGTACTTCTTGGGTGTCACCGGAGCTTGACGAGCGTTGAATTTGAGCTACTGTCGGTTGCCTTAGAACTTGAAAATTCTTTGAGATGTGAAAACAAATTGTCAACCTGCTTGACCATAAACTCTGTTCAGAGGCACTGTTAGATGGATGAACTCCCGAAAACAGCAAGGGGTATGTCGAAGTTCATAGTTGTCCTAGCATTATTCACTCTTATACTATCCGCCTGAACTCATTTTCTTGGTTTGCCCTGTCCTGAAGAGAGTTTTGCACTCTGGTTACACGCTACTTATGGACGCTGTCGAGATTAACAAGAGCTGTCTCAACTACGTTTGTCGTGGGCGCTTTCTGCTTCTCAACGATTGCACGGACGCATTCGGTCCATCTTTATTTAGCAATTACGTATGTATATTTAATGGGAATAGTAGGACACCTAATGTTGCTTCAGTCCTCAGAGTAGGCACGACAATCCGAATGTGCCTGTTATGAAACTGTCAATAGCAACGAACTTTCCTGACATCAACACCATTAGCCAAGGCAAAAGGTTCACATTCATGCATCACTGCTTGTCGTTTATCTAGTTCACCAGGTGGCCATAATTTCCGAGTTGATATCATCGCAAAGTGAGTTGTTTGTGGCTGTCAATGTTGGATCTTTACCAACACAGCGCACCTGACCACTTAGTCCCACTTCTGGATGCAACGTCATTCAAACATTTTTCTATCAATTATTAGTGAGCTAATCCATATTGTTTGAGATAGCAGAATACTGTACCCAACGTGATATGTGAACTGGACACTAAACTGACTGGAGTATGTAGCAGACATCCAAACCACTGTGTTTCGCATCAAATCATCACCCAAGCCATAAACAGCCAGCACATGGTGCTCAAGGTTTTCGTGTGCTAGGCTCTTACAAGGTCCGTGTATTTGAGTGGCAGTGATTGGAGAAGTTCCAAACATTCCCAAACAGCTGTTTAGCAACGCCCTTTAGTTAAATTCAATACTTGGTTCAGTCCCCGTGATTGAGCGATTGATAAATGTGACTGAGAAAGATCAATCAATTGTTGGATACATCGTCGTTTGCAATACTCGGGGACACTCTGCTACATGCACCTTTTGAGTCTTACTTAGAGCGTAACACGTGATCGATTGATTGCTTCTTATATCTAACCACTACCGGTATAGTCACTATCTTCAGATGCAAGTCCTCTAGCCTTGGTGAACGTCAAATCGTCTATGAAGATTGTGAAAAGTTGGAGATAACCAACTGACTGTTCCCAGGTAGCCAGTTTTCTTCACTTCCCGAACCCTTGACTTATTTCCATACCTGAAATTATGGCCACTGGACATATGAATTACATACAGTCAACAGTGAAAACCGGTGTAACGGAACCGATATGTATTCGGGTATTCTGGCCCATGTCACTGTAGCTCTCAGTAGAATGCATAAATTGAGTAAAAAAATGTTCGAGCTTGTTTTTTTTTACTTATATTCCGTAAGATGAATACGCGTTCTCAACAATTGGCTTATTCTGAGGGGGAACCTTTAAGTAGAATATCCAATTGTACGTTTAGTTAAATGTCACTATCGGTTAAATATAAATAATATAATAATAATTGTTCAGCTGTAGCACCCTTTCGGTGCCTAGCTACCATGCCACCCGAAGGAACCACGAGGGCCGACATACTGCCAGGTTACCCAAGCCTAGACAGGGGAAGTCGAGAGGCGGGGGTCGGGTTCGAACCACGGACCTTCCGGTCAGTAAATTCGCGCTCTAACCACTTGAGCCATCTTGCCCCCTATCGATTAAATGCAGCAGTATTGACAATAATTTCATACGATCTCGCTAATGGAACGATGAAACAGAAGCATTTGACGTGTTGAAAAGTTTGTGGTGTTAATCTAGAGATAAAAATAACTTTAAGTTGCTTACAGCCAAAGCCGACATCCGATTTCGCCGCTTGTTTTGGCAAGTGTTCACGGCAGATGTACACAGAAATGGCAATGATTTCAGTGTATGCCATTTTCACTTCCACGAATACATTTTTGTCTCTTGCTGTGTATTACCCTACCCCCTTTACATCTGAGATCGATAGGCTGGTCTTACTTGATTTCTGGTGTCACCATTGGGGATTCGATTCGAGGGCCTGGTGTTGCCTCCTCAAACCCTCTTTTTATCTAACCTGAGTGACCTATCCATTTCTGTCACAAAAAATTGCACTTCATACAGTAGAAGGGATTGGGATCAAACTTTAGTATTCCGTGGACATCAACGCTTGTTTTTGCAGTCTGTTCTCAGATCCTCTTTCTCCATTTCCTCGTCGAAAGTCACTCATTTACCGTTAAAATCTGGACTTGAGTTGTCTTCCACGATATGCATTATTGGAAGAATGTTGGATAGACATGTGGCATATCGATTGAATTCATACTTTATTTTTGCCACACAGACGAAGAGTTGTAGGCCTTCGTTACCGTCATTGATAAAAAATATAGATACTTTTAGTCATCTATACGAGTACATTAAGTACAGGGTACGCCATCCAGAGTTTCTTCACCGGCCTAATTCTTCCTCCACTATGTACCAAATGACTCGAAATTAAGCGTTAAACCCTCGTCAAACGGGTCCGAAATCGGCCCAACCTTAATTAGAAGTTATTAGGAACGTATGCATGTAGCTATGCGGGTGAGCCTACGGTCAACTTGGTTGGCGGACTCAGTGGATTCACGAGATTTGTTGCCGGTTAGGGCTAATAGAACGTGTCCCTGTTCATGGAAGTTCGTTATTTTTGGTGCACCCGACGTGATCTTTACCTTCACGAGTTGCAGATTTCCCACCACCCACAGAAAATGCTTTTTTCCTTATCTTCTCCGAAAATCATGTATGTCGCCTGCTTTTATGCTGTACCATACATCTTCCTTTTCCAGGTAACAGACGCGACCACCGCTCAATGTGAATCTGAAAGTCTGCCTGTGATCTTTGATTTACGCACAACTATCTTCAAAAGCGATAGCAATTTATTTAAAAAGATTGAGTCATCCGAATCCCAACCTCTTCTTACCAAACGATTCGTCTCCGAACAGACATTGCCACAAGCCCTAACTTCTTCAGGTTCCGTTCAACCGTTTGTGACGGAATTACAGTTTGGTGCTGAACTTCCCAAATGCCGATCTGAAAATACATTAGTCAAAGAAGAGTGTCTTCCAAACATTGTGCTAACTAATTTGAAACATTCGGAACGAATGCGTAGAAAGCAAACGGAGAATTTGGTTTGGCTGGACGAATTGCGACACGAGCTGTGCCCAAATCAATCTATAAAAACGTCTTTCATTATTTTTTGACCGAACTTTCCCGTTTCCTCAAACTGTTTCAGTGACCTTGTAAACTGTTTTGCGCGCTGCCCAATCAAGCATTGCTCATATGACATCGTACTCATCTGTCGTCTCTGCAGAGTTTTCGTTCGTTGCTAGATGTTATTTCTCCTCTGATTTGCATTCTTTTAAATCACCAGCTGCTTTCTCGTACACATATTTTATGAGACATGATAAAGAATTCCCATCCAATTTCACTGTTGCTCAAACCCATTTTCTTCAGTCGCCTTTTCTCATCTCTGCAGTTTCTGGGGAAAGACAACGTAGAGAAGTTTCAGAGCTTGAGTAGGTCTAATCTCCCTTCCGGCCGCTTGTGTCCGTAACTGTTTCCACAGTCTGGTTTCATGTTTACTAGTTAATCGGTTTTCAGACAGTTTGCCAATTTCTGCTTCAAATTAAGTGTTGATCTTCATGAAAGGTTGCTGAAAGCTCTTCGACCTCCTTGTGAGTAGTTTGCGAAATACACTCATTTACAAACTAATTTGGTTTTTCGAGAGACTCACCTGGAACCCAGTTGAATCTCTCGTTTGTGATGTTTCCAGGCCACTGAATGTGCTGCATCAGGCCGCCTTGTGTTTCAGTCGCTATGATATCGCGATACATGTATATTCGTAATGCACTACTCACAAGGTTGCTGAAAACTCTTCGACAACTTTGTGAGTAGTTTCCTTCATGAAAACATGCTGCGATATCTCGAATATCGTGCCAACTTAAACATAACACGGCCTTTGTGCAGCGCATTCATTGAAGAATAGCATAAACGCGAGATTCAGCTGAGTCTCTCGTGAGAACCAAATTGATATGCAAATGAGTGTATTTGTCGAAATCAGCGTTGATCTGTTTTAATTACCTGTCTGTTTAGACAGCTGCTTCAAAACCTTTTTCCGTCACAAGCTGTCAGCCGTTTCCGTGTCATTTGTCGGCGGGAGGGAATTTAGAGCAAGCAAACGTACGTGTAAGCTCACTATACAAGCTCTAAAGAAACGGCATTGTAACATTGCACGTTATTTTGCTCAAACCATCGAATCCCAAGACGAATGTACTGTCTTTTTTATTTGAGACCTCAGAACATTATACTAGACAAATAACTGTCTCTACGAATACGAACGATCAGAAGTGATCTGATTGATTAATTCTGAACGGGCGTCAATATCAGGAAGAAATGACTGCAGAAAGTATAGTCTCACTGGTATATTTGAGTTCCTTTTTCTTGTGCTTTCCAAAGAATCAGAGTATCTGGAACATATGATTGGTTGAAAGCATTCATTTGTTTCAAATATACCACGATCTCATGGTGCATCTTAGCGGTCGCTTCGGGAGGCTTGCTACTGTCGAATTACCGGTTCAGTGACCGTGTAGTGTGGGTACATAGATGAAGTATGCACCGAATGAGTGAGGAGCACTAGTGTTGTCACCGATGAGATTATTTCAACTTTTGTTTGTCCTCAAGCACGGTGACCATGTGAAATGCAATGTACGACATGGGATGAAAAACAGTTCGATCTCCCCGAAATTCGAAGGCATGCGTTCAACAACTTGAATCTTATGGTATGCCCATGAGCTATTCAGGTTCGTATCTAGATATTCCCTATCAGAAGACGGACGTTTCATGTAGACTCGCCCAGTTGGATTCAGCTGCTGGGGTACTACTTATGGTAACGGAACAGTAGTATATACGAGAGCGAGATGCCAAAGTGCCTCCTGAAAACATCTCCACCCATGGAAACACTGCCCTTATCGTCCATGAAAATCACAGCCTCGGTAATTTATACTATGGTTCACGGAACTGATGGTAAGGCGGTTGTCTCCTCCAGTGTATCACGGCAGATTAGTGCGCAAAACTCGCTCAGAAACATCTTACCACCTGCCCACATCCAACTGCATGCTTTGTAGTCAAATCGAATGCAGAACGATGGAGTCGTTTTCAAATGTACTGTAACTCTTACATGACGGAGCGTGCTACTCGCGAGTTTGCAGAAATTTTTTCGACAACCCGCGACCAGTTTCGCCATTCCTGAGGCTCATCAGACAGGCGAAGTCCTTAAGTTTCCGTCAATCCTATGTAGTAATTGAACCCAAGTTGGAAAATATTCACGAGCTGCACTCACCACTCCCAGCTCTGATGGCTACTACTTAATGTACTTGCAACTTCAGTTGGGGAAACATCCAGAACCACCGACTACGATGGCTCGGTCATGTGATACGCATGCCAAAACACCGTCTACCGAGACGAGTGTTGTTTTCCGTGCCTTACTCAGAATGGTGCGAACCGCGAGGTGGACAGTGTATAACATGGCGGAAAGGCGTGAAAGAGATCACGAAGAGTTTGGGTATTGTATGCTTTCTAGGATAGGGTCCCCGTAAACCCACCTGTGCTTGGTTTTGGACATTGCAAGAAATGGCGGCTAAATGATGTCAGTGGCGTTCGACGAAACTTATGGTTGTACGGCAGTGAAGCATCAGCGTAACACTGATGTTGTCCTTGATGATTAGGGTAATTCTACACATTAAAATGAGACCACCTATTACTTGTGGGGTTACACCCAGTGTTTCTACCCTTTCCGACCCCACAGTTTTCCCATTACTATCCAGACCATGTAACGTCTTATTTCGACTAGGATCATGTGGTCTGCATGCACCCTTCGAAAATTTGGGTTCCTTCACAATATTGGATGAATTATACTCAACCGCGCACTGATGATGTCCCATTATTGGGTATCAGCACATCCGCGAGCCTATATCCAAGCTCGTGGAGACATATCAGCAACCAAATGATCAACAACCAATCAATTCCTCCCATTTATCTTCATAAGATGTTTTGAAAGAATTTTTTTCAAAACATACAACTGCCGGAATCACTACTGTTAAGCTTAGACAATCACGAAGTCTCACTCGGAATATACCGTCTTCGTAATGTTTTTCAGTATAGAGGAGTGGTACGCACATTTTGAATTCTCTAAGCACACACTAGAAACCTTCAGCACTTGTGCTTATCAACTAAGAGACGACAACTATGGAACAGATCCGTTGTGTGAGACATGTAGGAAATCAAAGATGTGTGGAAGTGAAAAAAGCGTTTCCCGCATGTCACTGTGGCCTTGAACATAAGAGAATTGTGTACTGAAATCCACTTTTGGGTTGGAGAAAATACCTTTGGTTTCATGACAACCGATGAGAAAATGGACTGGCCGATATGGTATATGTAGGCAACAGCGGACAAATCCATTGTACCACCAGCATCCACTCAATTCCTCTGGCTTGTTCATCACCTGAAACGCCATTTATTGACTTGTGTCACACTGGTATCACCGAAACCACTCACAGTTGCGTCGTTGCTAACGGTTCTCCTTTACCTCCATACATCATGATTAACTAACATATGACCTGTGAAACATTCACATTCACTAGGTAGCATTTCAGTTAAGAGTTTCTGCTTCGTTTTATCATGGCCGCCTGTGAATGGCTGACTGGAGGAAGATCCGGTTATAATGAACCAGTAAGTTAAAGCCCTCTTCACGGGATGACCATAGCAGAGTCGAATTTCATAAGACTTTGTAAAAGCTCCTGATTTGGTGATCTGAAGTCCAACCTCTCCCAAACCCCCATTCCAAATGTTCTCCAGACAAGAAAGTATGCACTGCAGAAACTGACTTTATGATGGGAGGCAATAAGAAAACGTAAAACTCGTCAAGCTACCAACTCAGGTTTGTTAAGAATGTGGTACTGCTGGTGTGGTGCGATAGGAAGAACCACTGTCCTGAGACACAAAATGATACCATCTATCTGACATTAATTCGTGAGGATTTTGTGCACCACTTAAATCGTCACTTGCACGACCAGTCTTAGGACGCGTCGTCTAGTTTTTTTTCAGAATGACCGAAAGAATAGACGAAAAAGTTGAAAGAAACTAGTGAATTATAATAACAGCACAGGTAGACAGGAAATAAACGCTTGTTGAAACACTCACGATACCCGAGGCTAAATGAAGAAAAATGTGCTTTTCAAGCTGAAGACTATGATGACACTTCTTTGGACAAGTTTGATAAGTAGGCGTCACCCAATTGACATTTATTTAGACGAGTGAACGAGCCGTATTTGATAGTAGTCTGATTCCGTATGAAAATGCGCGATTCCGAAGATGCGACGTACGGTAGATCCGAATGCCACAATACAACTTCGAAACCATAGCGGTGGTTAAAATAGCACGGCGTCTGTGTAAGGCATTCCGGACTTAAACCATAGAGTTCAACGCCATTGTTTTGTGCTCGCTTCGCTACTGAGAACACTTGGTCCACTAAGTGAGACTTTCATTGTCATTGGAAGACCCATATCGAAGCCCACAGATAGCACTCAATGGGGCCGCCAAACAGCCCATACGTCTCATAGCCCGTAAAGTGAAGACAGCATGCTTATTTCCCTGGTCTCTACAATCTCTATAACCATTTGGCATTACAAATTAAATAGTGCAAGACAAATACCACATCGGGGCGAGATGGACCAAGTGGTTAGAGCGCGAATGTACTCGCCGGAAGGTCCATAGTTCGAACCCGATCCCCGCCTCTCGACTTCTCCTGTCTAGGCTTGGGCAACCTGGTAATATCGCCGTCCTCGTGCTTCCTTCGGGTGGCATGGCAGCTAGGCACCGAAAGGGTGCTACAGCTGAACAATCATTATATTATATTTACCAAATCGTCTACACGAAGAAACCCTCGATGACTGGCTCAACTCCAGGCTGATCAATTCGTCAGTTGCCCTTGGATGGCCCGGATTCGAGTTTTCCTCAGGCGACCTATAATTTGTTGTCAGCTCCCATTTGAGTTCGACGTACATTTGGTTGACTTGTGATAGTGTTTCTCTTACTCCATCCATTTAGATGAACCAGAAATTTCTGCATACTAAATGTCTGGAATCTACTACTGACAGCGAATGAAATCGGAGCACGAATCGTTTCAAGGCAAAGACAGGAGACCGGAAGAAACGCTATCAATGATAGAGCTAAATTTTCAGGAAAACAGACCCGGCTTCATACCAATGTGGGACTCACGTGGCCACTCATCATCCGTACAGTATCACTGGCGATAGAAAATTTATACACAGCAAATCCTCAGTGTGTATACAGAAAATGCCTGCAGGCATAACAGCGCAAAAAGTGAAACAAAGACAACAAGGTAAACATGTGAGTCAAAAACCATGGGGATGTACAAACAGAGGAATCAAGTTATCTAGGAATGATAAAAAGTAACAAATGCGGGATATACGGTAATGTGACAAGCATCCTCATCCATGTGTTTGATCGTCTTCCACGAAATCTAGGGCTTCCTCTTTAGTCACGCATTCTATATGACTGACCTGAAAGATGAAAATTCAATACAATGCTGGATTGGAGAACCATGCTGTGCCAAAGGGACAAGTTAGGAAACCAAGCTCAATAATCGTCGTCGGCTGTATCACTCACAGCCCCGACCACTGCTTACAAATTATAGTGGTTAGCTATTTATTGCGGTCGATTTTTGTCGGTTCCGTCAAGTTCCGGTAAAGGCATAAGAGAATGGGTCCTTATCTGTTTAACAGACTATTTTCACAACAGCTACTCCATTGTCTCTTCTTCGAAATTGAACAACCAGAGTTGTTACTACAATTACCGGAAAACCCCCTATACTACGTCGAACTTTCTGAAGAGGACGTTTGCGATCAGTCACGTTAGGGCGCCGGAAGGTCCATAGTTCGAACCCGATCCCCGCCTCTCGACTTCTCCTGTCTAGGCTTGGGCAACCTGGTAATATCGCCGTCCTCGTGCTTCCTTCGGGTGGCATGGCAGCTAGGCACCGAAAGGGTGCTACAGCTGAACAATCATTATATTATATTTACCAAATCGTCTACACGAAGAAACCCTCGATGACTGGCTCAACTCCAGGCTGATCAATTCGTCAGTTGCCCTTGGATGGCCCGGATTCGAGTTTTCCTCAGGCGACCTATAATTTGTTGTCAGCTCCCATTTGAGTTCGACGTACATTTGGTTGACTTGTGATAGTGTTTCTCTTACTTCATCCATTTAGATGAACCAGAAATTTCTGCATACTAAATGTCTGGAATCTACTACTGACAGCGAATGAAATCGGAGCACGAATCGTTTCAAGGCAAAGACAGGAGACCGGAAGAAACGCTATCAATGATAGAGCTAAATTTTCAGGAAAACAGACCCGGCTTCATACCAATGTGGGACTCACGTGGCCACTCATCATCCGTACAGTATCACTGGCGATAGAAAATTTATACATAGCAAATCCTCAGTGTGTATACAGAAAATGCCTGCAGGCATAACAGCGCAAAAAGTGAAACAAAGACAACAAGGTAAACATGTGAGTCAAAAACCATGGGGATGTACAAACAGAGGAATCAAGTTATCTAGGAATGATAAAAAGTAACAAATGCGGGATATACGGTAATGTGACAAGCATCCTCATCCATGTGTTTGATCGTCTTCCACGAAATCTAGGGCTTCCTCTTTAGTCACGCATTCTATATGACTGACCTGAAAGATGAAAATTCAATACAATGCTGGATTGGAGAACCATGCTGTGCCAAAGGGACAAGTTAGGAAACCAAGCTCAATAATCGTCGTCGGCTGTATCACTCACAGCCCCGACCACTGCTTACAAATTATAGTGGTTAGCTATTTATTGCGGTCGATTTTTGTCGGTTCCGTCAAGTTCCGGTAAAGGCATAAGAGAATGGGTCCTTATCTGTTTAACAGACTATTTTCACAACAGCTACTCCATTGTCTCTTCTTCGAAATTGAACAACCAGAGTTGTTACTACAATTACCGGAAAACCCCCTATACTACGTCGAACTTTCTGAAGAGGACGTTTGCGATCAGTCACGTTAGGGGCTGTCCCAGAGGGATTATACTGCGCTTGAAATTCTCAAAATCTCATGTGCACAGAATACAAATGCTCATTCCGATTCGCCCACTAATCTCCAGGTAACTGCTGTGATTCCCCACTAACCAGATACGCTCTGAACAAGTATATGCGAACCTGGGTCACTTCATCATGGCATCAGCCAGTGTGGTCTTCGGAAGGAGCATTGGTCAAAGGCGAATGAATTAACGTTAATCCGGACAGAACATACCAGGAAAGGACGTTACGGGGTCGTAGTTCCACAATAAACGGAACAACGAAAATTCTGAACCGGCTATACTGTCTGGACTCACCAATTTATGCCAAGGAGTGTTGGTATGGGATGTCAACTGGCACTAAGTGAAGAAAACAAGCTGAGTTGGTCAACGTAACCAGGGCAACACACGAACGCTTTGATAATTTGTGCGGCACTTTCTGTTAAATGAATCCCGCCTGTATCCGAGGTGCACTCATCAAATATCCAAATTCTTTTCTTACCCGTATTCTTTGTTCGGGTCTTGAATGACTAAATGAACCATTGTTCATTCCTTGGGTAGAATTTCCGGCCCACGGACTGATACACAACAAACTGTGAAGACTCATGAGTGGTTAGGAAGATCGACCTGATGCCTCGCCAGGACTCAGATTATCTGATCGATTTGTGCACTGGTCAAAACAATAAGGATTCTTTGGACTGATACAGACTCCATGCGAAGGGTGAAACGTTGTGAACAGTCATTTCCTTTGTGAAATGAGTGTCAGTTATGGCGAGATACATTCTCCTTCCCAAAGCCATCTAACGTACCATAGAACTACTGGTCCGTAGGCAATGCTTAGGAGAAATCGATGGTATGAAGTCTCCGTTGAGCTTGTGTGGGAAGAGGACCCGCCTCTCACTCATAAAGAAGCATAGATTATCTCGACCTTCCCAACTCCAGTAGCGAATTCGTCTTCCGCCAGTCCACCGGGATTAATAGAATGGCCCGAATAAACGAATCTACGTACTACCTCAGCCGAGATGGCTGCATGGTGCGCAGCGCATACCATGCTGCACGACAGAACAACTTAAATTTGCTGAAACTTCGTAAGGGCAAGTCAGCACAAGCAGAATCGTCTGGAAGTCAATATCTGTGGACGAACACCCATAACTCCCATGTGTCGGAAATCCCAGAAGTTTCAAGCGGAGTATCGATGACAAAACTGGGGAATGCGACATGGGACACTCGTGTCTGACACCACTGAATGTGGTGAAAACACCTTCATGAAAGACAATAATTTGTCTAGGACATCGGTTCCTTGATATCGGTAGGTTCGAAAACATCGTCCAGATAAACAAAAGTGGCAATTCTCAGGAATTAGGATGAATGGCGCCGTTCGAGCACCTGCCTTGAGACATGATAAACACTTTCCCGGCAGAGGCAAAATCCAACTTGGTTCTTTCGGATTCATCTCTTCCAACAGCAAAGAAAAAGCGAGATAGCAGGTTAGACACATTGGCTACCAAGCTGATATCACGATGGGCTTTGCGAGGTGGTCACACATCACTTTTCGAAACCTGATATCACTGCTGAAGCACCCATTTCAGTATATCTCGTCTGTATTTTGTTTGTTCCAAACAGCCTATAGTAAGGTTGGTAGGATGACAACCTAGGCCTCGTCACCCTCTTTGAGGTTTGCAAAGGATCAGGGATAAATGCCTTAATGAGATGAAGAAACAGCGTCTCCTGTCGGCTTTTTGTCGCTAGGTGTGGCGCTGCGTGACCTCCCGGGGTTACTCCGGTCGTGGTCCAGGACATCGCTGAAGATCTGAAGGAAATGCTTATGCATCCTCCACAAATAATATCATCGACGCACAACTTGTTTTGCCAGCCACTCGAATCGTCCGAAAGAGAGAGCGGATGTCCGACGTTGCGAAAATCTTCACCATCTACTATTTTTCCGACATCCACGAGCACTCCTCGTTATGCCTCGGGTTCCTAATTAATTAGCGTTTGAGTGACCAACTTACATAGATATAGTCTCTAGCTGCTAGAGTGGTGTTTGTCTGTGGCATGAGTAAGAGCGCTGGTTCTGTTAAGTCAAACAGCCCGGATAGTTCACCTCACTCTTCCCCAATTGTCCTCTAAAGGGTACTATTATTCACTACTTTTTCGATTTTCCGACAGCTTCTAGTGTGTTTAGTTCCAGGAAGATATCGAAGGTGATATTGTTAAACAACTGTTTGCTGCGTGTTTCTACGAAAAGAAGTCATGTTTAAAGTCGCATCGGTCTCCTGCTACAGGTTAGTTGCCTCTCGACCTTATTGGATAGTGCACCGACGGTCACAGCCAACAGTTGAGCGATAGGAGTATGCAAATATTAGGGTCTTCTTCTTCCAACCCGAACTTCTTTGGTTGATTAACCGGGCTGCCTAGGCAGTTTGGATATGACGCATTTTCGGGAGCAATAACGGTTTACTAAACGAACATAAACCCGAGAACGGAGCCATACATATTGTGGCTAGTCTTTCAATCTCACTCGACAGTTATGGGCTCTTTTCATCAACTATTCGAGAAGCAGACACAAGAGAATGTAGTCGCTACGCAGGGACCGATAAAGAAGAATAGAACCACGCAAGGGTCAAGCGTTAGGCAGATGCAAGTCCACTAACCTTATTACGAAACTTCACACCATAGAATTTCTCCGCGGATTCCAGTAACTCAGGTCTGAATGTGGTGGTGATGAACTGTGCCTCTGATTTTAAATCCCGAATCATATCTGCGACCGCTTTTCGGTACTGGGCGTCCAGGGCTGCGTCAATCTCATCAAACAAATAGAACGGGGCTGGGTCACACTTTTGAATCGCGAAGATGAGAGTGAGAGCCACCAGAGATTTCTGACCGCCTGATAACTGATTCATATCCCGCATATCAGCTGAGTCTCCGGTGAAACTGACGCGAATGCCTACGCCGGTGAAACGTTCCACATCCGGAAGGACCGTGTCGTTTTTATCATCTTCCTCGTCACTGCCCTCGCCTTCCTAGGATACCGTTCAAGAACAGAATTCAATATAAGAATAGAAAACAGCACCATTGGAAAAAAGCTCCCCCATCCCCATGAAATGATTGAATGCATCTAGCTGGTTACATCATTCAAAGGACTTTTCACCAGGATATACTGACGCCAATAATCGGATCGACCTCCTGTAAGCTGTTGACGTAACTTTATCAAAAATCGCTCCAAGTGGAGTGATAAACAGAAAGTCGAAAAGCTTTTACATGTTAGTTTATAAGGGAAGCCTTAGAAGTTTCCAAGGCTACTGCTAGCGGCGTTAAGTGCTCCATGTGCTAAGTAATCTACCGCTCGTGGGACAACAAACTACCGTAACCGGAGTTCAGATTCGCTTCTTATGCAAAATAGTCGGAAGGCTAGCCGTCGCCATCACTTTCACAACAAACCAATATCGGTATACTTCAGACAATCAAAAATGGATTGAGTTCATAGTACTTGTGAGTAGGATGGGCACCGATCTTAACTCTGAAGGAGGCGGGCTGCAAAATTATGAGACAGCCCCTCTTAGTCTGTGTCTGGCATGCACGACTCACCTGTAGCTCAAAGTAGCTGTCTGAGGGCGATAGAGGCCACTGTCTATCGCAGTACCTTGACAGGTAAGGGTGGAGGATAAGTAAGCTCTCAGAGAAACCCAACAACTTGTGAAGACAGGTTCGCTGGGAAAAATTAGGGATGTCAATCGGAGTCCACTAATCATCTTACGGAACATCGTCACCAATGACAGATAGTTCAGGAGTGGTACAGACCTCTCATTCATATTTTTCTAAAGCACTCCATCAGAACCTTAGTCTACAACAACAAGATAGAAATGCCGAGGAGAGAAAACAATTAACTTACACGAACACCCATCTTCATCACAAGTTCGGCACGACCTTCGGGCACCAAACGCTTGAAAATATCTTGGAAATTTTTCGATACCTAAGGAAAAGTCGAGAAAACTCTGTAAAAGAACCGGATTTACTGAAATCCTCGATTTCTCCAGAGTTCAGCCAAAGTTTCACCATACACATTACTTGGGAAAAGGCAGTCTGGCTGATGGGATCACCAGAGACGCTGAGATACAACCAAAGATTGAAATAAGTGACGGTTAAAAGCAACACGTGCGACAGTGAAGGCTGATTTGCCCGTCTAAAAAACAGATGGCTCAACAAACATACCTGCTTGAACGACAGCTGAATTGCTTCACATTTCTGGTGATCCAGTGCATTCATTAGGTCCTTGATAGCCTGGCAGCCCTTGTCCAATTCCTCCTTACGCTTCAACAGCTTTTCCTTCTCCTCGGAGTGTGAAACAAATTGATCTAGTGCCTTTTTGTTCACGTGACTATACTGCTTGAGTTCACGATTCGCCTTTTCAAGCAATTTGAATAGCTGAGTGAAAGAAAGGAGTGACAGATCCATTATTCGAAATTGCCATGCATGTAGACCATGAAAGAAAATGACGGAACAAAGATGAGTTTTTGTGACAACCGCTCAAGAAACACTTCCAGTCTCCTAGAGAGAGAATGCGCTCTACATGGAGATTACCCAGTCGGGACGTACGTTCGGTGCATATCTTATATGCAACTTAAAGGGTGCACAAGATGTGAGCTGGCAACGCTGGCCATGCAAGAACAGAAAAGCTTGAAACGTCAGGAGTGGTTATAGACCGTGAGTCTTTCGGTGATTTTACGACACAATGGAAAGGAAAATAGATCGAAACAAGTGGACGGAAAGGAAATGTTGTTGTTCAAGTATTTTACTCGAACTTTATAAGATTTTGAGAAGTGTTGTCCTCCAAAGTACCGATTTCGAAAACAATGAACACAAGGGACTGTGAAATTCCTTTTTGTCTGCTCGAAATTTTCATCCGATCGTACAATTTCAACCGCATCTGATTACTAATTCTTAGAGTGAACACACTCGATGAACTAACAGCGCGTGTATGGGCAGAAAAAAACTTAAACCTCTAGGTTAGCTTTAATTCCTTTTTCCGTCGGATACTACAAGTAGCAATCAGCCATGAAACCAATCCAACCTTGAAGTTATCCAAAAGCAGGCCATCCATGATAGGATTTGTTTGTCAATGACATGGAAGAGTCTCGAGACCATCTATGAAATTTAAACACGTTACGGAAAATGCGCAGAGATCGCAGTCCTCAGTGCTTTCAGAACAAAGTAACTAGACCGGCTCCGCTACAACTACACCACTAAAACTCGCCGTAAAAGGAAGGTCACGAAGACTATTGACACTCCTGTGGGTATTGCTTTAAACATTGATCCACTATCTCTAGCAGATGAACTGCAAAAGGGAGTTCGAACGAAGTGCGGCATTTAGTTTATTTGTCTTGTCTTTGCCATTGTTGACTAGTTAATCGTTGGGCTGTAACACCCTTCCGGTGCCTAGCTGCCATGCTACCCGAAGGAAGCACGAAGACTGGGATAATGCCAGGTTGTCCAAGCCTAGGGAGAGGAAGTCGGGAGGCAGAGGTCGGGTTCGAACCACGGACCTTCCTGTCAGCAAACTGACGCTCTAACTAATTGAGCCATCTCTCTCCCCGTTAAGCTCTTTTACTATTTTGCAACTATATTATATAAATCATTATATAAATCATCATCATTATATAAAATCATTTAAACACAACGGATGCTGATTTACAGCGAGTTCAACGTAGAAGAGAAATCGCCACACAAAAAACAATCCCAAAGGAGACTCCTACAGACAAGTCCCTGAAAATTGCTCACTGCCAGACTGTGAATCTCCGGAAGAGGGGCCCAATGTCCCTTCCATCGTTATTACCGTAAGAGTACTACGCCTTTCAAGACCTAAGCAAATTATCAAACTGATGTGATATTCTTTCGAATCCCAATTGATTACCAAGCGCTGAGGTAATTTCGGACCATAACTATCCAGAAGTTTGGCGCAGGAATTCAACCGTACCTTCGGTTGTAAACTCACCTGTTTCATATTTTTGTCCTGGAATTTGTCGAAAGCATTCGCTGGGAGTGAGCCAAGGTCCCGAATATTCTTCATATTCTCTTCTTTCTGGAATGGAAAGGCGAGTCAATGGCCGCAACAGAATTGAGAGAAGGAAACCGCTAACTAAGGTGGGCATTACTGTTAGAGGCAGCTAGGGGTAGAACAGAAGAATCTTAAAGAATGGCTAAATAGGAAATTGCTACTTTACACCCGATTTGGAAGAGCACTAAACATAATAAGACTTCTTGCGTCACTCGACGGAGAAACCAAGTTTGAAACGCCACACTCCGAAAATTTAAACTGTCTGGAGGAATACTGAATCTATCCAAAAAATAACCGACAGCCTCATCGTTTGTTCCCAAAGGAGTAAAATTTTAATTCATCCTATTGGGTTTGATATCACCAACTCAAACCGACCAGGGTGGCTAGATGGCAACTTACACGACACCAAGTAAACTCACGGAGTGTATAACTCTATTTACGTACAAACCGGTGTTCAAGCAGTAAATAGGACCGAAAGACGCTTAGGGACTACACCCAGCTGATGAGCCCCACTGAGGACAAAACTAGCATTGGATTATCGGAGAGTAGTGTCGTGTTAAGGTCACTTACTTTCTTTAAAAGTTGGCTCTGTTTTGACTGCATCTTTTCCAGCGTCTGCTGATCATCTTGAATACGTTCGGCGTACTCCTTTTCCTCCTGCTTCTTTCGCTCGCGTTCCGTTTCCAGTTGTTGTTGCTCATTCAACAGTGCCGTCAAACGTGCCTCAACCTCATCTACTGTGCGCTGGGCAGCTTCAATACGACGTTCGACCTGTGTGGGAAAATTAAACCATCCAAATGATCGCAGGTGGCTTTCGATCCTGCTTAACAGTCAAACCACAAAAAGCTAAACAAAGATAGCACAGCATGACAGCGCTTTCCATAGAATGAAACCAACCATTGTACACGAGATATTGTGGGGCTGGAAATGTAGCGGGTCGGTGCTGACTAAATTTAAAGGATTACATAAACTTCTAAGCTTGAGTTCATATCCGAACATAGCCGGAAGATAAGATGAAAAACAATAATAGCTGTCCGGTGGTGGTATGTTCTCTAAGCAAATCAAAGGAAGTGTGAGAGGTGAGATACCGTCCAGATGCAAAGTCTGGGCAGCAGTAATCGAAAATCAGGGCTGGGTTCAAACAGATCTTTGGATCAGTAGTCTCGAGCCTTAATTGTCAAGCTATCTCGAGGTCTAGGTAATATAAAGAAAATCTCGTCACTAGCGAAATACACTCATTTGGAAACCAATTTGGTTTTGCGGGAGGCTCACCTGGAACCCACCTGAATTTCTCGTTTGAGGCATAACAAAATTCAGTTTGCTGCATTTTTCTCTCGGGGGGGAGATCTTCATCACAAGTTTACTACACACTTCAAGATCGTATCAAGTCAGATTTTATCTTAGTTCACACGGAAGGTGGCTATAGCTGCATACAAGGTGACAAATCGGAAACTCACTCCTCGGAGTTCTTCTTCGGCCTCAGCCAAACGCTCTTGTAGATCTTGTTCAGACGCTTCAGCAACTTCGGCTTCCAGCTGCTCCTGTTTTCTTAATAGATTGTGCTCCAGCTGAGTCTCCTTTTCATTTTTCTCTGTCTCCAAAGTGATGCGCTTTCTGTAACGCAAACAAAAGCGGTTCCGTTAAGTTACAAACAAAAAACACGAAGCTATTTCAAAACCGGAGCACGAGGGCTAGCTGAACAGGGTTTTCATCTTCTAGTCATCTCTTCTAATCGTACGCAATTTGCCAACAATAGGTCAGTGATAGCTCCGCTACCGATATAATTGAATAAATAATTTTTAGTTACTCATGCAGTCGATTACGGAAGACATAATCGAGGGATGAGCATCAAGGAACAGTACTTAATGTATTGGTCTGTTCAAAGAGAAATTGGTTGCTGAATGAATAATGACAGTAAAATTTGCTGCCGATTAAAAGGAGTTATGAAAATAAGACCATCAACTAAGATAAACTGGAAAGACGCAGTTGAAGAAGTGACCATTCTAACAAGAGTTCAGCGAGCTTACTTGTAAGCCTCCTTTGCCTGTCGCGTTAATTCTTGTATTTTGTCATTCAACCGATCGACTTCACGTTGCTCCTGTACAGACAGCTGACTCAAAAGGTCAGTGCCCAATTCGACCTAGTAGAGGAACGCAGAAAAGAGAATAATGAGGATGATCATACACCACTCCGGTTAGGATAGAAGTGAAAAATTTTATATGATGCATCGTGACATTCAGCAGCATCCTCCCATTACTGATCCGTTGGTGGGCGATCCTGCGGAGCGATAGTCGAGCTACTCAGTAGGTCAGTTTCTCAGTTTTAAACCGTGTACCATAATCTCAGCCCCACGTGCAATCGGTTGTGATGTCGACTTTTTGGTCCACCAGTCTATGATTATTTCTCATCAAGGGATCTGCTTTCCTCAGTCCGCCAACGCTGTTATTGGACTGCGACTCCCTAAGGTCACAGTCAGTGACTTGTGTTTGCTTGCCATTGTGGGCTCTCTGCGTACTTACGACACTTTTATGCGTGGTACATGTTGTTGGGTGTAAATTCTTGCCATTGAATCTCACACCAAACACTGTATGACGGACAACTTGTGCCTGATAGGCGAGCCTTGACTGTGCTAGCCCTTACCGCGGCTTGAAGAGGATTCAGCATTGTTTGTCATTGTCATTCCCTTGGTCGTCGGTCCTTTCCATACCAAACATTCTTACACACGTTGGAATTAATCTTGTCTGACTGGAACTGTTGATGGCATGACTTCGAATGAGGGGCTCCTCTCTTTACTTGTTATATATGTGACCATGCTCTTCAAGAATAAACGATAGTAGCACTAACATGGATGAGTCCCGATGTGATGTGTTGTAAAATTATAAACAAATAAACCGTTCAGCTACAGCGCCCTTTCGGTGCTCAACTGCCATGCCACCAGAAGAAAGCATCAGGGCTGGGATACTGTCAGGTTACCCAAGCCTAAACAGAGGAAGTCGAGAGGAAGAACTCGGGTTCGAACCACGGACCTTCCGATCAGTAAATTCACGCTCTCACCACTGAGCTATCTCTCCACCCCCCAAGTAGCTAACTTAAGAATCTTTCCGACAGGTTATGCCCGTCAGAAGAACTCGGTTCGAACCACGGTCCTTCCGATCAGTAAATTCACGCTCTCACCACTGAGCTATCTCTCCACCCCCCAAGTAGCTAACTTAAGAATCTTTCCGACAGGTTATGCCCGTCAGCACAATTCTGCGCGGACTGCGATCGAATACTGGTGAACCGAGACCGAAAGCTCTATACAAACTTTGATGGGAAATTCGGACAACTGAATCTGCTTAACATGGCGTTTTGGAACCTGTGCCCACAAATCTGTGCTGTTTATCACAACAGGAGCATGGACCGCTGTACATGTCACAATTAGAACAGAAGGGGACCGGGTGGGGAGTGGTTATTCCTCTAGCTCAGTCACCGCAGAGTCTAGCTGTAGGCAGGTCAGTCAAACGCTTAGGACAGTGACTAGTTGCACACAGCCGCCTACATCTGCCGCTCAACTTTAATTAATCGGACCCTATTCTCACGTTTTTCCCGCAGTCCTAGGTGTTCGAAACCTTAAACAAGCCAATTGAACCATGCACACATTCTTGATATTTAATCGATCGGATCTTGCTGTATTTCTGAAACACGAATATACGATCCATGTACAGTGATAGAGCTTATGACCGTTGTGATCTTGTGACCACTGTCACAATTAGGCAGGGTTGAGAGAGTTGGATATCAAGAGTGGACCAAAGACAAATTAACTGATAAACAAGATCATGATTCCCTAACTTGCCCAAGACATCTGACGCACAGGTCTATGAAACATTACTGAACGGACTTCCAAAATCAACGAACTGGTGGCGTTTTGAATACACATCAACTTTGTAGCAGCCTGACACCTATGGAATGAAGATAAGTCAATGGCCGTAACACACTTGAGAAAAGGAAAGCACTAAGGTGGACACCACTGTTAGAGGCAGTTGGGGGTAGAACACAAGAATCTAGAAGAATGCGTCATAGGAATTTGTCACATTACACCTGATTTGAAAGTGCACTAAACACAATAAAACATTTTGTGTCATTCAATAGAGGAACCAAGTTTGAAACACCACATTCCGAAAATGTAAACTGTCTGGAGGAATACTGAATCTATCCGAAAATTAACCGACAGCCTCATCGTTTGTTACCAAAGGAGTCTACTGAGGCGCCAATCAGATAATCGTACCCTAATCCACGCAGGTTATGCCGATTTAAGAATATGCTGAAATCAATATAGCAGTCAAAAATCAAGACAGCCATCAGATTCGCAAATCCGTACGATCGAATCTTTTTCACTGGAAAGGAGAACAGGAGTGACGGGAGTTAATTTGTTTACGCGTGGTTTTGTGGTGTGTGCGCGGTCAAACCATTCACAAAGTAGCCCATAAATTAAAATGTACACTACATAGAAGGTACAGCGGTAGACAGCCTTGTCCACGAAAGCAGCGGTAAGTCTCTTGTGTACGGGGATGTAGTGGTAGAATGTAAGGTCATAAATCGTGCTACTGATTCACCAGTCGGGAGACTAAAAGATTTCACAGAAGAGTGAAAGCAACGAAAGATGATGAACCCCAAGATGAGGTGTTTCAAAACACAGGAAATACGGAGCCCAGGCTAGGTCACACGCCATTAGAGTTTCAAAAATGTTTCGAAAAAAGCCAAACACCAGCAACCAATATGCAGTCGTCATACTCGTGGAGGAAAGCTCTGGAACATAAGATTGAGGGGGATTTGAGGACCGTTCGTACGGGATGAGTCCAAAGGCTGAAATTAGTCACGGTGGTCGAACGGTTTTCAGCAATTTGATAAGATATGCGTGAGGTTAAGACAAAAGCTTTTAATGTTTACAAATTTTACATGAGTATGCTATGAAAAAAAGACGTAAAAAGTCGTACATGCAGTTAGTATATTCATCAACGTCGGGGCACACTACGTGCACGGTAGATCACATGGAGGCAATCTACTTGTGAGATTCTACGGCATCCAAACTGATAGCAAGTGCATGTTGCATCATGGTCAACAGATCAGAAACCCTACATTCGCAGCAGTCAACGTCGGGGAACAATGGTCATTGCGGAAGACGAAGAAAAGAATGTGTAGCACAGGTACCAGGCATATAAACTCGAGAGACTCAATTTAGTGCCGTGTCTTATTGTTGTTTTCTTGTGCTCGCTGTGGTGAATGATTCCACCAACTACTCCGAAAACAACCGGGAAGGTAAGTTTGAAGAGGGTTTACGTCTTCGGATGGGAGGGGTCATTTCAGAGGAAGAGCTGATTTCTCGGAAATTTTGTACACAACCTTTCATTCCCATTGAAATTCACTGAACACTGACCAACGCTGACAAACAAGGCCCAAAACTTGTCCACTAGCAAATTGGCCTTATCCATCAGTTAGCGACTGACCACGCGTCTGAACGTGAAACAATATACAAATCCTGAAGATCCCGGTGAGATGAGACTAGAAATGCAGTTATGCGGGTCACAAGCCGAAACCTATGGTTTCCGAAGGGGGGAGCAGATGTGCATAGTTCAGCCACACTAGCCGCTAATCGAACTGGATCTGTATGCTTCGGTATCTTGAAGCGTTCATCTCATGATAATATATAAAACAAGATCAAAACTTGCGAGGAACCGTGCAAACGACGAGGATGACACGACCATGTAGACCATACTTTCCACACATCACTCATACATCTTGTATTGTATATTTGCAGCTGTTACTAGACATTACTAGTACATCATACCCTTCAATCCTATCTGCTTTCTAAGCTCTCCTTGGAGCCACCCAACTCTCGCAAAAGATGGGGACAATTTATGAAGCGTAGAAACTAACAATTTCTTTAGCTATATGCATACTGTTGTGACTGTGTGCACTTAGGCGCCGTGTAAGTGTCTACAGAGGATGCCTACCTCTGGCCTACTAGTAGAGAGATACCTGCGCTAAGCTTACCTTGTAAGACTCCATTGTGTACTTCATTTGGTCCAAGTCATGTCGAAGAGAGGATAATTTTCCTTCCTTTTGGGGCTTCGCTTCATTTTTTGCCCGCAACTCCTCCTTCCACATGTGAATGTCCTTCTTCAGTTTATCGAAGGTCATCCTAACGAAGGGAGAATAAAGGAGAACATGGGATGGAGAAGAGCCTGAAATTCGATCGATAAAATTCTACATGCTTCGAACAATTGCACTGAGCGATTAAAAAACAAACGAGATAGTAGTTTCGCCGAAGGCTTACGAAATATTGCCACATTACTCCGTGACAGGAATAAAGCATTATATTTTCCTTTGATGTGACAGGCATCTAGGGTCAAGTGGTACATGAATGCCTACTTGGAAACTAAGGGAAAAAGAGGCGTCACCTACAAGTGGTCTGTGTAAAGCCATTGTGGAGAAAGGACGCATCCACAAAACAGACTTTTGTTATTGCGTTTTAAAGGATTGAGAACTGCGTCGATCATGTATACCAGAATAAAATAAGAACGGATATGGTCAGAACATGTTGACTACATTATGTGCAATTGATGGGAAATAATGTCTTGCCGAGATACAAAGAGCGGCTGAGGTATTAAAAAAATACCTCTTTCATCACGACAAAACCACAACAGAATACTACTGCTGGTGAATAATAAATAAATAAAATAAATAAATAAAATAAATAAATAAATAAATAAATAAACGTTCAGCTGTAACACTTTGGGTGCATAGCTGCCATGCCACCCAAAGGAAGCACGTGGGCTGGAATACTGCCAGGTTGCCCAAGCCAAGAGGGGGAAGTTGAGAGGCAGAGGTCGCATTCGAAACACGGACCTTCCGGTCAGTAAATTCGCGCTCTAAACATTGAACCATCTACGCCTTACTACTGGTTAATGATACACAGAAAAATAAGATAGACTTTATGTGTATGACAAGGTTCGATTGCTAGCAGTGAGGCCAACAAAATACTGCGTAACAAGTGAAAAGCGTCGCAGGGAAGCATTCATAGTTTGATCCAAGAAAACTTGGGGCTACTGGAAAGATGGACTGAAATGAACGTAAGTCAGTGAACATTTCTCGGGGTGTACCCAGTCGCACAAATGCGGGAATGCGCTGCGTCCAGAGTCCTGCAAAAAGCCTCAATGGGAAATGGAAGTTAAAAATGCAGGCGCTTGGACACCTACTCGTGTTTAGATCTGACAGTGTCTTTCCTTTGAATATCATCAATGATTCGATTGATCTGTGCATCGACCTGCTCCTTCCGTTTTGCATTGTTCTCACGAACATTTTCCGTTTCTTGTATTTCCATTTCTGTCTTTTGTTTGCGCTTCTGCAGCTCCAAGCGGGACAATCGATTATCATAGTAGCCACCGGTGAGCGTACCCTTACGGGAGACTTGGTCGCCTGTTAACGTAAGAAAAACAAACCGAATCTTGGTGTGAGTATGTTCCGAATGGTTCAGAATGAACCCGCAACTGAAATGAAAACATACTCCTCAGGTAAACTTGCCATCAAGAGTAACGCAGTCGAAATTCTTCGTGCGAGCCATCTGTGTACCGATTTCAATGCTTCGACAAATGAGCGTCTTCCCAAAAATGTGCAACATAACAGATCGAAACTTGTCATCGAAGTTGAGCCGGGATATCATGGGAATTGCATCCTGAGGAAAAATGTTCAAAGACAGAACAGACAAAGTAGCGAAAATGTACTGCAGCACACCAAGCGATGAGAAGAACTTTTTCGCAAAGATTAGTATTTACTTTATAAGACAAATACGATCTTAACTGGGCCTTAGCACCCAAGGAGATATTCGTTGCAGCCACACAGAATGAGGTAACAGCTAGCTAAACGCTGCATACCATACTCTTGGAAAACTTTCACCTTGCTTTGGCTCGCTACCTTCTGCGTAAGAAGGTAACTATTTATAATGTACTACTCATAAGGTTGCTGAAAATCCATCGACAGCCCACGACCGGTTTCGCCCTTCTTGGGGCTCATCAGGTAGGCGCAGTCCTCGGGTTTCCGTCAACCTTATGTTCTGCTTGAAACCAAATTGCACGAAATTAGCGAATATACACTCATCTGCAAACTAATTTGGTTCTTTCGAGAGACTCACCTGGAATCCAGCTGAATCTCTCGTTTATGATGTTCTCAAGCAACTGAATGTGCTGCCTGGTGCGGCCTGGTTGTCTGAGAACATCATAAACGAGAGATTCAGCTGGATTCCAGGTGAGTCTCTCGAAAGAACCAAATTAGTTTGCAGATGAGTGTATATTCGCTAATTTCGTGCAATTTGGTTTCAAGCAGAACATAAGGTTGACGGAAACCCGAGGACTGCGCCTACCTGATGAGCCCCAAGAAGGGCGAAACCGGTCGTGGGCTGTCGATGGATTTTCAGCAACCTTATGAGTAGTACATTATAAATAGTTACCTTCTTACGCAGAAGGTAGCGAGCCAAAGCAAGGTGAAAGTTTTCCAAGAGTATGGTATGCAGCGTTTAGCTAGCTGTTACCTCATTCTGTGTGGCTGCAACGAATATCTCCTTGGGTGCTAAGGCCCAGTTAAGATCGTATTTGTCTTATAAAGTAAATACTAATCTTTGCGAAAAAGTTCTTCTCATCGCTTGGTGTGCTGCAGTACATTTTCGCTACTTTGTCTGTTCTGTCTTTGAACATTTTTCCTCAGGATGCAATTCCCATGATATCCCGGCTCAACTTCGATGACAAGTTTCGATCTGTTATGTTGCACATTTTTGGGAAGACGCTCATTTGTCGAAGCATTGAAATCGGTACACAGATGGCTCGCACGAAGAATTTCGACTGCGTTACTCTTGATGGCAAGTTTACCTGAGGAGTATGTTTTCATTTCAGTGTGACTACCTAGAATTTCGGTCCAGCTTATAACTAGGCTTGAGCAGATCACAAAACAACGTGGATTACAGTGGGGCCTGTCTTAGATAAACTATGGAACGCATTCAACCAGGTTCCCACTGGAATTTATGGTATCCATGCAGTTCTTAGTGCGGATTCAAATAATCAACCAACGGTTAATTCATAACACGGTGAACTTTTTCATTTAAAACGGTTAGCCCGGCGTCTCTAGAAGAGATTATTACAATCAAGTTATCCTTAAGCACATACACTTCAAAGGCATTGGATAATCCAGTGACGTTTATTAGTCGCATTTCCACCATTAACACCGGTTGAAGGGTGATGCCGTGTCAGAAGGGATAAACCTAACAGATGAACAAATCCAGTAAGGAGACCTATCATATAGCCAGGGGATTTAAACGTATCACGAAACGCAGGGACTAGGTTTTGTTAGCATCAAGGATAAACGACGATGAAGCGTAATCTCTCTTTTGACAAAACAGGTATTAGCTGTCAGAAAGCCGGCTGGCGAAATTGAAATGTAAGGACTAAGGTGAAGTAAAGTGAGAACATTTAACCTACTTAAGTGCGGTCAGTAGAGTGAACTGAATAAAAATGTAACATGAAATGTAGAGCGACATCGGTCAGATAAATAAGCGAACCTGAAGTCGGGAGTGCCCAAAAGTAACAGGTTTCAAAGTTCTTCCAAACTTTTCACAGGCAGCAAACTATTGAGTTTGAAGGTATCCTATCATATCCTATCGTTAGTAAATACGTATTGAGGAAACAACGTAGAGAACCCAGATCCAATTCAAGTTTATTCAGACAAGAAACACCGAAGGTAAGTCACTAGGCGGTAGAAATTCGAAAAAGAAGTCCCTAAACCCATGGCCGGCAAAGAAGCAGTTCGACAAAGCTAAACGAGAAGCGCGCCGCCATACCATCATACGAGTGTACAAAAAGGTGGCAAGCTGCGCACAGCAGACAGCATGAACTCACCGTCGTTTCAGGATACTTCACTTCTTGCACGCACAGTCGATTGATCGGTAAAAAATGCACCTCACCCGGCAAATTGTGTTTGTTGATTTCAGCGATCATGCGAATAACCTGTTTGTCATTGTCTACCACGTGATAGAAGAGACGTGAACCAGCCGTAACTTCGACACTGGTGTAAAACGTCTCCGGACAGTCAATGAGCTCAATAAGCGTGCCGTGATATCCTTGAACAATGTCACACTCCGGTCCAAAGCGATCACGGAATATTTCGATCACCTATAAGCCGGAGCAAAACCCACATTGGAATGATGTCTAGATAAATCGTGTGGAGTTGCATGAAGTACGCTCACATGGAACACTTAGGGGTAGAACGAAAGGTAGGTGGAGTTTCCGCGCGTATGAAAAAGCTTCCCCTGGAGTGTAACGTTTCTTGGGCCAGAGACTCCGGGGATCCTAATGAGGCGAAGTAGTATTTACGTTACGCCTCGACCCTATAGCGAAAAGCGCCTGTAGCTCAATCGTAGTATGCAAAGCACCACTGAGACCGCTTGCTTCTATTGATTTCCACAGTTGCGGTTCAACTCAGAACATTCGGCTTCTCAGATTAAACCGCTTACGGCGGAGCTTCCGTGAAATTATACTTTTAACCTGATAGGTTCAGAACACTTGAAACATCACATTTCACTCTGTGAGCTTGGCAGGACAAATTGAGTGTATAAATCAGCACATCTCTGGATATGCAGCATTTTTCATGACTCAACAAGAAAGTCACATTTTTGCATAATTCTTGCTAAACTGTGGAGAGATTTTGCTCCCACTTTACATTAAATCCCCAATATTTCCGTACTCAATTGACGCAAGAACCTATTTAGTCATTATATATATATATATAATATAATATATATATATAA